CCAGTGGGGTGACTTCAGACAAGTCCTTTCCTGCCCAAACCTCAACTTTCCCACACTTAAAATGGGAATGACAGAAGCCCCTCTCTCTCTCAAAGGACAGTCGTTAAGGAAAATGAGGTGGTGGGTAGAAAGTTTTAAGAACAGTGTGTGCTGTTCCTAGGGAGTGGCTGAGACCGCGAGCTGGGTCATGAAGGAGGTTGTGGTCTCCCAGAAGCAGAGTTTGAGAGGAGGACTGAGTGCATTTACCTTGCAGAAGGCAGTTGTAGGGGAACTGGGTGATGACACAGGGAAGGGAGGGAGAGATCAGTAAACACTGAGTTATCAACAGGGTAATCAGCTTGCCTGGAACTTTCCAGTTCTAGCACTGAATATCCTGCATTCTGGAAAACCCCCTAGTCCTGGGCTAATGGGGGGGGTTGGTCACTCCAGTTATCAAGCAAGTTCCCACCATGGGCACCTGGGGCTCGGTCCCACTGGGGAACGCTGGGAGATTGGGTAGGACGCACAGCTCAGAGTGACCCCACTTGTGGGCGAGGGAGTTAGGGTATTTAGCCTCCATCTCCCTCCCATCAGTCATGGGTTGAAGATTGCTCTTGAAGGGTCTTAATTGCCCAGCACTTTGGGGAGAGCAGAGTCCAACCCCCAAAAGATGTAGGTGCCTACAGTTGGAAGTAACCCAGGTGTGCCCCACCAATGGTGCGGCCTGATGGGGACATGGCCAGTCCCACACCTGCTACAGGGGGCTATGGAGTCAAGCCGTGGGGAGATGCTGGTGAGGCACATCAGGTTGGCAGAAGGAAGCACCCCAGGTGTGGGGAGAATGACGGAAAGAGGGTGTCTGTATTAGCCCATCTTCCACGGAGGAGGAAACTTGGGCTCAGAAAGGTGGTTATTTGCCCACATTTCCCGGAACTGTGTGATCTCCTAAGGGTCCCCCCTCATGAGCTGGGACAGGAGACAGGTCTTAGCTTTGGCCAGACAAGAGCAACAGGCCTCACCCAAGGTCTCCACGTGAGACTAATGGCCACTAGTGTGGACACTGGGTGGAAGCCCCTCAATCTCTCTAGTAGACTAACGAGGAGAGCCTCAGGGAGACTGAACTACTGCACCTGTCGTAGCCCCAGGAAAGCAGCAACAGAGCCAAGCTGTTTGAGCTTTTGGCAGGCCTCTTACAGTTACAGAGGATGGAGAACTCAAACCAAACTAGCTAATGCAAACCAGGACACTTATTGGCTCATAAATGGAAAAATTGGGGAATGTGTCCTTCAGGCACTGCTTGATCCAGGGGCTCAAATGATGTCCTCCAAATGAATCCTGTCTCCACCTCCCCACTCTACCAGCAGGCTTCTCTGTGTGGTGCTAAGGTATCCCCAGCAGCAACATGCATATATCCCTACTTCAGTGCAGAGAAAAGTCCCAAGCTCAAATCTCCCTGGCGTAGCTTGGGTCACATGTCCATCCAGAACCAGTCACTGTGGCCAGAGGGATGGGATGTGCTGATTGGCTAGGAACTTAACCACTGCTCCTGTAAATTACCCACTGGTCTTATCTCCCTGTTACAGACTCCCCTCCGACCGCCCAGCCCAGCCTAGCCCAACCCAGCCCTGCCCTACCCAGCAGGGAGTTCTGCAGGGACAACCAGTGGAGTGTGGTCTCCATAGCCCCAATGCCCAGCATAGAGCCTGCTGTAATCAGTGATTTGTGCACATGTACAAACTGCATGTAGGATTGTGTGCTATGCACAGGAATGTTTGTATGGGGAGGGATGGTTGTTATCCCTCGGTACCCCTGAGGCTCTGGCCTCAGTGCAGGGAGGGCTGTTGGGTCAAGGGGATGAAAGACGTTGCTGTAACACCATGGACAGCTAGTGTAGCAATCTGGTCTCATTTTGGTTGCACCAGGTGGAGGGTGGGGTGGCAGGATTGAGGTGGGAGGGAGCAAGAGGCTGATGGAAAATACAGTCTCCCAGTAAAAAGAGGAAAGAGGGGGTCTTAACTCAATACCAGTTAGTGATCCCAAGACCTGCCCTTCCTCATCTTCTGATGGAATCCAACCTTGAGACAGAGGTTGAGGCCAAACTCCTCAATCAGCCTTCATCTGGCTGATAAGTTCTTCAGGATCTAGACCCAAACCATAAATCACTTATATTTAGCTGGATGTATGGCTGCCTGGAATAATGAACTACATTTCCCAGCCTCTTTTATGTACGACTATGTCCTGGATAACAGGTGTAAGCAGAAGTGGTAAGTACACCTTTGAGGAAAAGAGGGTGCCTTTCTACATCCTACTGTTGGAATGTAGACGTGATGGCTGGAACTTGAGCAGCCATCTTGGACCATGACATTACCTTGAGTATACAGGCCTTGAATAGTGGAGCAATAAGACAGAAGCAACCTGGATTCTGCATACCATGGAAGGCCATACCACCCCTTGACTGACCACTGTTCTGTTCACTTCCTATTTACCCCATTGGTGAAGGAGGGATCCCTGCCCTTAACAGTCCAAGACAGCCAAACACAACTCCCAATGTCAGGTGATATTGATGTCAGTTTATTAATCCCCTATACTCACAGCCCAGAGGAGGAGGACACCTCACACCATGTAGAGCCACGTGAGGGGTGCACTTGGGAGCAGAGTCAACAAGCAGGGTCTGCGGCAAGCAGGTTTTGACAAAAAGGTGACATGAACTCTGGTTCCTATAGAAGGATGGAATTGGCTCATTTGAATATTTCGCAGGCTGGCTGGGATGTGAAACCCAATAGGCTGAGGACCAGGTGGGGTCCTGCTGATCTGGCCAATAGGGAACTAGCTAGGTGAGGAGACTTTCCTGCTTGGGGGGGGGGGTATCTGATAAAAACAGGGAAGGTTACAGTCAGGACTTTGGAGCTCTGTGAAACTTAAAGATCTCAAGGCAGCATGTGGAATTTCAGGCCTTTTAGTAAACCAGTCATCTTGGATGAGAGAGAGAAACTGATTTCTCTCTTGTTTAAGCCACTGTTTCTCTTTTTTGTCTTTAAAAAAAATTTTTTTTTTACAAGGCTGTGCTCTAACCAACTGGGCTAACCGGCCAGCCCCTCTTTTCTCTTTTTTTCCCAAAGCTGCATCTAACCCTAACTTATACAGGGGATATCCACAGAGGTGAGAATTGAAGCCACAGCATGGATGACATTAGCCAAGGAGAAAGTATAGAAGGAGAAGAGAAGGGAGACAAAGGAAGACCCTTGAGGGGTGGGCGGGAGAGAGATCAGTGATGGCCATGGAGGAGGAGGGGTCAGAAAGAGACAAGAACCTGAGAGTATCTGGTGAAGCTGACGTCGTACTTGCCATGTGTATGAGTCAGGGAGGCAAGTCATTCTGCGTAACAAACAAACCCAAAGGTCAGCAATCCAGAAGTGCCACCCAACACTTCCACACCCATTTCACTGGCCAGCATTGGTCACATGGTACCCACTTCACTGGCCAGGATTGGGCACATGGTCCTGCCTGACCACAAGGCGCAGAGAGGGGGCAGGAGCAAATGGGAGATCTGGAGTATTACTCTCTCTGTGATAACTGAGCACCAGCAACTTATTCCTTTAGAAAAAAATCTTACCCAGCCCCTGACAGATATATACAAGGACGTTCTCTGCAGCCTTGTTTATTGGAGTGAAAATTCTCTCTTGCTCTGGATTTCACACTCCATTTCTTTTCTTTTCTTTTTCTTTTTCTTTTTTTGGTGGCTGGCCAATATGGGGATCCAAACCCTTGACCTTGGTATTATAATACCATGCTCTAAGTAACTGAGCTGACCAGCCAGCGCATGCT